GCAAACCTGCACCAGATGTATTGAACAACAAAATGTAAGTCTCAATCAATGAAAGTTATTTAAATGATTTAAAAACTCACCTTCTCTTTGACGTTTTCAAACGATGAGGGTGAGACAACTGAAAAACAAACAAGGAACACGTCTGTCTGTGGATAGCTGAGCGGACGCAGCCTGTCGTAATCCTCCTGACCTGAGAACGACAATCACAAGAGAAACAGGGGAGTTTTTCTATTTGTTTTAGAGTCACACAAAAAGGAGATAAAAACAGAGACTTTCAAAGACATTCATGTTACCTGCTGTGTCAAATAGGCCAAGTGTATAGGGCTCTCCCCCAATCATCACCGTCACTGCATAATTGTCAAAAACCTTTTGAAAGAAATGTCAAATTATTTCACTAAAACAAAAGGCAGCATGTTGGTTTGCCAACGCGTTTATGACATACAGTACATTGTTATTTCTCTGTATGTGACTCTGTATTTATTACTACTCACCGTAGGCACATATTCTGAGGGGAACTTGTTGGTTGTGTAAGAGATCAGTAAGCAGGTCTTTCCTACTGCACCGTCTCCTACCACTACACATTTTATAGTCTGCATCTACGGGGATAAAGAGAAAATAGGAAACATCATAAGAGTGTCAGCAAATATATAGTGTCACACACGCCTGACACTGAGAGAGGAAGTAATACACATAAAGTTTAAATGTTATCTCAACGAGGATTGATGTCTAGTACGGCCTCATATACAACAAGCAAAACAACTTTAGCCAAGTGCCAGGCAATCTTATGAGTAACAGACAATTTTGAGGTACTTGTACTTAAGCATTGTTTGTTGTTACTTTATAATTCTTCTTATTCATTAGAGGAGGGAAATATTGTACTTTTTAATTTAACTTTACAGATATAGTTACTAGTTGGTTAATAAAATGACTTACAATAAGCTCTAACCTAACCAGCTACAACCTCATAATGCTGCTTAAACAGTGACATATCAGTAATAATAATCCAATAATGTTATATAGCACTCTGAAAGGAGCAGTTCTGCTGCCTAGTTAATACATTTACTTTATGTTAAAATGATCCAGACACACCTTACAGTATAGTAGATAAAACTAGCTCAATCATACTCGACTAACATTAACTTAAGATTACGCATCAGTACTGATAATCCAAAAATATAATACATAGTTGAATAACACTCAAAGCATCCATTTTTTTACTTTAACTTAAGTGTTTCCTTACTTAAGGTTACTTGCAATTACTTATTACGTTTTACAGTGTATATATACATATATATAATAAAGTACTTTAAAATAGCTCAAGACTAACCACAATGATAAAACTCTTCTTACATGTTAAATATTGTAATTCATACATCTCTTAATGCTCCTGAACACATCACCAGTGATGTGACTTGGGGTCATTGGGTGTTGCAGGTGTTTCAGCATCAGGCAACCTCACCGTGGTGACCCAGCCGTGGTTGGTCAGACCACAACTTGTGTTCATGCGCTCATTCATTTATTTGACTTCTTAAGTTACTAATTACCTTTCAGTTTAAGAGTTAATATTATTGATTATTAAGTACACCAAGCTGAACTAATGCAGTCTAATACAACAGTCAATAAACCCAACCTTCATAAAGGTTATAATGTTTTATTGAAACTGTTTTAGGTGTTGTGTAAATGAGTCTTAATCAATGCTTTATCACATGCAGGTGTGCTGGAAAGACCAACTAATTATGTCACTATTTATTAAAAAGCACAAACAAAAGGTAGTTTAATTGCAAAATATTGCAGTTTACCTGCTACAGGTGTGTGATTTGACCGATTAGGTTCATTTTTAGTAAATAAAAACAAGTTAAAATAAAGGAAACCAGACATAAATGAATAGGATAAGTATAATTTCTCAAATATCTGCCCACTTTATACAGTTTAGAGGAACAATCTTCACATTCACATCGTACTGTGGGTGTTATTACATGTGCATGTTACAGATTATTGATGACAATGAATCACTTCCGCACAGGCTGCACACCACAGATCTTAAAGAAGAAAACCAGGGCCTATTAGCCCGGTGTCATTGAGAAGCGGATACAGCCCAACACTTCCGCTAAATAAGCAGTTCATCGGCTTAAAAAAAAAAAAAAAAAAAGTGCTGAAACTCTAATTAACACTTCAAATGTAGAAGCAACAACCAACATCAGATATGAGCCCTGATTGTGGTTATTAATCGATTGTATTGGCTCAGATTGATAAAGTGGGAACATCTGTCAACTATCACATTGTATCCCTCAGTTAGCTCACTTACTGAACTAGGAACAGCTCCATGTGTAACCACAAAACACAAATAATAGTCGCACCAGCAGTGGCGATGACTCTTGTGACAACCTCGTTAACCAGATCGATGAACACTAAATGAAGTTTGAGGTGTGAGAAACTTTTAACACACCGCGGATTTATACCAAAAACATTAAAAAATAAAAACAATAAACAAACATTTCCTCTCGTTAGAAACTTTATATTGTTCAAGGGATTCTGCTGCGTGTGTCCCAAAGTGTAATCAGCCATAAATAGTTATTTCAGACTGTTTTTCTAACTCTACTCACCGTTTTTCTTCAGACAGGTTAGGCGTTGGTTACATCCGGGTTTGAGGGTCGAATTACTTTTTTTAGCGCAGCCGCAGACCAGACGAGCTTTCGTCACAGCTGTGGGATACACACAGCGCCCCCTGCTGGACAGCACCGCACACACACACACAGAGACACAGACACACACACACACACACACAGAGACACAGAGACACACAGACACACACAGAGACACAGACACACACACACACACACACACACACACACACACACACACACACACACACACACAAGACACAGAGACACACAGACACACACACACACACAGAGACACACACAGAGAGACACACAGAGACACACACACACACACACACACACAGAGACACACACAGAGACACACACACACACACACACAGACACACACACACACACACACACACACACACACACACAGACACAAACACACACAGAGAGAGACACACACACACACACAGAGACACACACACACAGAGACACACACACACACACACACACACACACACACACACAGAGAAACACACACACACACACACACACACACACACACACACACACAGAGACACACACAGAGACACACACACACACACACACACACACACACAGACACACAGAGAGAGACACACACACAGACACACAGACACAAACACACACACACACACACACACACACACACAGAGACACACACACACACACACACACACACACACACACACACACACACACACACACACACACACACACACACACACACACAGACACATACACACACAGAGAGAGACACACACACAGACACACAGACACAGACACACACACACACACACACACACACACACACAGAGACACACCCACACACAGACACATACACACACAGAGAGAGACACACACACACACACACACACACACACACACACAAGACACAGACACACACACACACACACACACACACACACACAGAGACACAGACACACACACACACACACACACACACACACACCTATCTATCTATCTATCTATCTATTGCTATGAAATAAAAGGTTATTGTTCAGATACTGTGTCCGTGTCCTCTTCTATTGGTTTTAACGCAGTATATCAAGAGCTAACATAAGATGTTCCTTTACTGACACTTCTGAAAAGTTTAAAAAGTACAATGAAGAATCACAACATTAGAATATTATGAAATATAATAGAAAATATAAGACTATAATGAAAAAATATATACACTATATGCAATATGCAATAAAATGGTGTGCAATAATATCTTAAACAGCCTTTGACTGTGTGTGTGTGTGTGTGTGTGTGTGTGTGTGTGTGTGTGTGTGTGTGTGTGTCAACATACTTATATAAAGTTGATTCTGATTATGTTGCACTTTAATGGTACATACAACATCACCAAACCAATTTGAACTCTGTCAATTTGAGTTCAAATTTGAATTAACCTAATTGTCACACAGTGAACTGGAGCAGTGCCCCCCTCCCTTAGGGTCTTGGGGACCAGTTAGTTTCGCAATACCAGAAGATCTGAGATCTCAGCGCCTCCCGATGAGACTGGTTTGGGAGTCGAGGGTCCTCATTTGGTAATTCAGCCCTTTTTCACAGAAGAACACGTCACAATAGATCATTGATTACAGGGATTCTTTAATATAGAGCTGAACCTTTATACTAACGCCTGTGCTTTTCTTAGTCAAACTGTATTATAAAAAGACCTATTGTAGCGTACTGCTCCACTATCTTTTGTATTATACTCAACTTTATAGAGAAAAATCTCAAAATATATTTATTTAATTTTACCTTTATTTAATCAGATAAATAAACCAAAACTAAAATATATTATTCTTTTATTGTATTTTTACTCTCCTCTACTATATGGACTACATTTCTCCTGTGCTGCTGTGTCCAACTTGAATTTCTCCCATGGGGGATCAATAAAGGAACATCTTATCTTATTTTACAAGTCAATTGAAAACCAATTCTCATTTACAACCTGACCAAGAAGCAGCAGCAAGAGGCAGGCTAATACCGCAAGTAAAACATTCATACAAAAAAGTTAAAGTTAAAACAGCCCAATATATACAGTTTATACACAACATATATCAAAGTACTGCGATCCAGAGAGGTAGATTTAAAAACAAGGGATCAGAAACTAACATTATTATACATAAAATATACATAACCGGTTATTAAAGGACACATATGTTTATTACGACGCGATTCATGACTTAAAATATGTGTTATATATTCTGATTTACACTATTTCACATCATAAATCGACACATTATGTAAAGAGATTGTAGCGAAGGCCTCTGGGGGGAGGGGGGGGAAACACTTTATTTTGAAAAATAAAACAGACCGGAAGTGGCCGTCGTTAGCTGCGATGCTAACCTGACAGTAGTGCTGCTTCTCTTTGTCAGAGGACCGACTTCCGTTTTCATGTTTGGTCCAGGTTTCTGGAATTTACTATCTTGTGAAACTGAGCTACCTGTCACTTGGGTAAACAGTAGCAGTGATTTGGTATTTTGGTCGCGGCGCTGACGGAAGATCCTCCACTTTCAGCCTGACAAGAGTTTGAGACCGTCATCCTTTTTCATCCTTGAGAAGCACGACTGTTTACCTAGCTAGCTGGCTAGCATCAGCCAGCTGAGTTAAAGCACCTAGCATGTTTCGGTTCTTGAATGACGTTGACGACGACCCCTACATGATGTGAGTGTGGACATTAATTGTTATTTGTTTTGTTTTGAACAGTCGTCTCGCTCTGTGTCTTTTGGCCAAGAGGTGTGAAAATGTACATATTGGCTCGCTAAGTCACATTTTCTTTCTCTCCCTCTCTCCCTCTCTCTCCCTCTCTCTCCCTCTCTCCCTCCACTGTGCCTTAAGCAGGTACCTAACGTTACTCTAGCCAGCTGTGGGGGCCTACAGTGGTCCACCATATTGGATAGACAATAACAAAAAAAAAAAAAAAAAAGAATCTGTCAAGTGCTTGGTTAACCAATCAGCCAGTCAATCAGCTAAAATATCCGATTATCGCCACGTTTAACTCCCCGTTGTTTCCTGAATAACTTTGAGATTAAGCTTTAGCTAATTGATGGCAGGTGGCGTTTTATTTTTCTAGTCTGAGTGTCGGAACATGTTTACATAACACCTGAAGAGTATTCCTCTACATGCATGAAAGTGGATCATCCTGAAACTTATTGCTGAATAAATAATGCATCCGTTTGCATTCATAATAAAACTGATGTGAAGAGTACATCTGTAAGTCTGGCTGCTTTTTGTTGATCCGCTAGCACCAACAGGCACAATCTTTATTATTAGTTTGTTAATAGTGATGCTGAAAGCATTGGTGGTTTTCTTTGTCACACAATTAGAAACAGCACTAATGTCTAAACAAGATAAAGAGCCAGGCAGGGTCAGAAATATATTACTGTTACTCTAAAGTCTAGGGCCGCAGGTTACACTGATTTTCATTATTGATTTATATATATATATATATATATATATATATATATATATATATATATATATATATATATATATATATATAACTATTGTTTTCTTGATTTGTCTGTAAAATGTCAGAAATGTTTTATATTTCATGTCAACCCAAAGATCTTCTGTTTACTGTCATAATATATCATCATATCAAAAAGCATCAAATCCTTAAATTTGAGAGGATGGAAACAGTAAATTTTTGGTTAATTAATTTTCTGTTAATTGACTAATCGAATCATTGCAGCTCAGTAAAGTCTATGGTGATCTCCGTCCGTGCTCTTCAAAGTAGGGCTGCAACTAATGATTATTTTCCTTATCAATGAATCATTTTCTTGATTAATCAATTAGTTGTTTGGTCCATAAAATGTAAGAAAATGGTGAAGAATGTTTATGGCCCAATGTGATGTCCTCAAATGTTTTGTTTTGTCAACAACCCAAAGATATTAAGTATCTAAAAGTGGAGAATTTGACTCAAAACAAATCACAACAATCGTTGCAGCTCTTCTTGAAAGCAAAACATAAAGGAGGAAATCAGACTCAAATTTATGAAAACTTTATTTTAGTTGAACTATTAGTGTCTTAAATGATTAGTTTATTGACAGATAATTAATTATGTAACTCATTTGACTTAAGTTGACAGTAAAAATCTTCTTAAATGTGAAGATTAGCTATATTTGTCTGTTTAATATAACAGTGAAGTGAATTAATTGAAAACATAATAAATTAATTAATCAAAAATATAAACTATTGTTAGTTGCAGTCTTAGACTTGATTATGATGATACTTGTATTGATCGATCCAGAGGGGAAATTAAATTGTTGCAGCAGCAAAAGGACAGAAATATTTACAGATAAATAGAAAAACTAATATATATATATTACTTATAAACTAATGTATATAAAACTAAAATAAGAATAGAAATAAAAATATAAACAAGAGCAACTAAAGACAAAAGTGACAGTGGTGTGATGTGATTAGTAACAGTAAAGTCTTGTGTATCTAAACCATAATATTAACTAATTATACCTAGTGTTTGTCTGTATTAATATAGAAATATATGTATAGACTATATATATATATATATATATATATATATATATATGTGTATGTGTGTGTGTAATTAATGAAAACTCAACAACGGCTCGGCTCATTAAATCTTTGGGGACTCAGTGTTGATTCTTATCAAGAGGAGGTTCAGGAGGTTTCACAAGAGATATGTTGAAGTATCATTTGATTTAGCTTCAATATTTTGGCACAGTTTCCAAAGTGACCCTTGTTTTGATACTTTGTTTCTTTTACAAAACCATTTTTTACTTTAAGATAAGAAATTCAGTTACATCAGACACACAACCTCTTCTCAGACAATTTTCAGTACTCCAGTTTGTGAAACTTTGTACTACGGACACATTTCACTCTTGATTCTCTAGTCATCTCTCATATCCTCCTCTTAAATTGGTTTCAGCTTGCATTCTCATACTGTATGTGGGTGCGTGTAGTCACCCAGCGACACTGAGTCGATTCACAAGAACTGATGTGAAGTCAATGTAATCTGTGATTTCTGTGATTTCTTCTAGGGATCCATTTGCTGCTCACAGGCAGCAGATGAGGGTTCTGTTTGGACCATTTGGCATGGACCCCTTTGCCCTTGCACCCCAGATACAGGCGCCTCGTGCACCACGTAGACAGGTAACTCTCTTAACTTTATGGACTTATTCATGTGTTTTAAATGTGTCATGTGTTTGATAGCGACATAAGTTTATCGGTTATATTTTTGAGATTTGAGTTTAAAGTCTACATTTTTCTTTTAGGCTGGTCCGCTGGCCCCCTTTGGCATGATGGGAATGGTGAGTAGCTGCTTCAATACCTGCAGAAATATAACTTTTCATATTACAGATTACACATAGATAAAGATACATGTACTAATATGTTGAAATTTAACTTTATACTGATACATTATATGACCAGAAGTATATGGTATTAGCTGAGAAAATACACAACTTGTACTTTAATCTGTGTTTGTTTTTATCCACCTTAATAACAGAATTAGCAGCGATCAAACATGATTTGTCATTTCAGAATATGATTATATGAATTGTTTGCCACACAAAAGTGTGTTAAGTGCATCTTTTTGCTCTGACAGTAAGGGTTTTGGGGCTTAAATAAGGACCCTAGTTGCACTGAACTGCCAGCAAACAATGTTTCAGAGGTGTTCCACTGCGTTTCTACTTGATGTTTCATCAAATGAGACTTCCTCCTTTCAATTATTTTTACAGGGTGGAGGTTTCATGGATATGTTTGGCATGATGGGAGAAATGATGGGAGGCATGGTGAGTAGTTTTGTCAACCAATTTCAGATAAACAGAAAGTAATTACCCTCCTGAATGAAACCTTTGTCTGAACTATACTCCGTCTCACCTTCTGTTTACTTTTGTTTTTGCTTCTTCTTACAGGAAAGAATTTCCAGTTCACCAAACTGTCAGACGTTCTCCTCGTCAACAGTGATCTCCTACTCCTCTACAGACTCAGGGCCTCCTGAAGTTTATCAGCAGACCAGTCAAACGAGAACAGGCCCTGGAGGGGTGAGAATTATTACAGTATACGATTACTCTCCTCACTGGACATGTGGCCTTCATGCTTTGTTAGTCTGGGCATGACCGTGACATTCTGGCCTCATTAACACATGAAATCACCAGTAATTGTAGTGACAATAAATACATCATGTACAGTATAAATATCATAGTTGTCATACAAACATTTCGGTCCAAGTTCGTCCAGAGTTCACAGCATCACTTCTCACCTCAGATCCGTGAGACGCGGCAGTCCATGAGGGACAGCGAGAGCGGCCTCGAGCGTCTGGCCATCGGCCACCACATCGGGGATCGTGCACACATAATGGAGCGTTCACGAAATCGCCGCACTGGAGACCGCGAGGATCGGCAAGACTTCATTAACCTTGATGAGAGTGAGTCACTGGGCCAGAGAGATAATGATTGTTTACTATTACAGCTCAAAGGAAGCACAACGTGTCCACAACAATGTTATTTAATTAGCTAAAGGTTGATAATGCTTCAGTCACTTCAGGTATGTTATTTGTGTCACTTAACCTGTCCACCGTTCCCACTAGATGATGCTGCAGCGTTCGATGAGGAGTGGAGGAGGGAGGCCGTAAGATATGTTCCCCCGAATGCCCGGGCGCTGGAGTACGGCCGAGATCGACGGGCAGGAGGTCAGCAGCTGGCCCTTACTGCCCCTCCCAGCTCAACGTCCCCACCAGGCCATCGGCACGAGTCCCCCAGACACCGTCAGCCCCAAACCCGTCCACGTTACGACTGGTGAGAGGTAAGAGAGAGCACTGAGTATTTACTGCTGCTCAAGTTCAGCCTGACCTGATGGGTTTAGTCGTGATCTGGCTCTAATAATATGGCTATATATATACAGTTTTAGCTAAAAATATCTGTATTTGTTTTGGGGAATATGCCAGCTGATAAATAAGTAAGTACAGAAAAAAAAAATATTTTTGTGGTATTTCTGTGACCATTACATATCGAGCAGTTTATTTTTTACTATAAAAAAACTTAAAAATGTATGTTTATGTCGTGTTTATGATTAAAATATTTTCAGTTTCAACTCCTCAATTGTTAATATCATTATAGGCTTTAAAAATCCAGCATTGGTCAGGCTGTATTTCATATGTCTGCTTTTTTTCCCTGAATTTAAGCACATGTAACAATGTTAAGAGGATAAAAGAGGTGCTAGATGCAGACAATCCTTTGTCCAGATACTGTGTAATAAAAGCATTCCAGACATGAGATGGTCATAATTTTTACATTAAAGTGTTGGGTTGGGTGTCGCTCAGCTTATGTTAATCATATAGAAAAATATCTCTGCACACCTGAATATGTGACAGGTGCAGCATGATAACAATGAGAGACTCCCGCACACTGTCTCACTTACTGCTGAACATTTCGGTCTGCACGACCTTCATCCGGTTTACATATATAGGTTTTAATGGAACCATTACAGCAGGTGCTATTTTACATTTGGATTGTCTTCTTATTGTTTGATCAGTTTTACATTACAGTTTTAAATAGATTTCCATTTGAATTTGCATTTATTCTGGTTTTAGTGATCCTCAAACACCCACAAGAGGGTAGCCAACACTTGTAAAATGATATAACACTAGAACAATAATGGTAAAAATATACACAGTACAATAATCGTGATTTTGCAGGTGCATTGCATGTTACACTGTATGAGTCTAATAAACTGTAGCACACTGGAAAATATCAATTTGGAGGAATGGCATCAACTTGCTATCCATCTGTACCACTCTGTTTGCAAACATTTGTAAATATAGGTCGTAACAGGAGTCACGTTGTGAGAATTTTTGATGCGAGCTGTCTTTAATCAACAAACTGCTAAATTGGCTGTTGTTGGACGTGTCTCACAGTGCGATCTAGGACCACCATTTTGGACTGACAGGTTGACTGTCCCTGCAGGTGTGACACTTGGCCAACCAGATGAAAGGAGTTGAGGGAAGATTTCCCCGATGCTGTGAACCACGCTGAAGATGGAAGTTGATGACCGTCACAACTGCCCGTCGTAAATGTTTGATATGACTGGACTGTCTTTACATAAACAACAAACACACACTCAACAAACCCCCCACCCACACACTTGATAGTTACATTTACAGTTCTCCTTCTCCACTGTTACGCTCAACACACACACACACACACACACACACACACACACACACACACACAATGGCACCCTTGTGCATACATGGGTATAACTACGCTCACTTTATATATACTCATTCTCAAAACTTGACGTGTTTTTGCCCACTGCACTTAAGTGCTACAGTATACAGTACATCTGCTGTACAGTCCATTTTATGTTTGTGAAGACACTAGTGTGTCAGTGAATTGAATTGTATACTGTTAACTAATTAATCTAACTAAATAAAAGTTCATTAAACATTGTTAGATAATTACAAAATGTGTCTCTGTTGTGGTTGTTTGAGATTGAATGTATTTAATGTGTATTTTATAAAAAAACAAAGGTTTGTTTTGGCTCCTCTGTCTGTATTTAATCTAATTCTGCTGCTTACAAACAAACAAATCCGCTATACATTTATCCCCCCACTGCATGTGCCTGTATTCGTATGCTCCCTCTTCCCAGTGCCACTATGTCTGCAGGTCATGTGACATCCAGATGGAGCACACAAGTGGAGCAGCCAATGAAAACCATTCTCTCTTTTGACAAATCACTCCCATAGCAGGCTCCCTGCCTGCCTCCGTCTGTGCTCGCTGTACCTTTAATTACATCCACGACTATTTTTAAATGCACATCCTCCCCCCAGCATGCACTGCTCTTGTCACCTGTCTTACCTGTCTTCTTGTCTCCTTTAATCCTCATCATTAGATCTCTGAAGTTACCCAACAAGGCATCTCATTTTGTGCATCTGCCTTTGCTTAGATGTGTCCTCCTCATCGTTTCTTTGTTTTGATATTTTCTGCCTGTCATCCACAACTAAATATGCAGATGTGTGTTTCCATTACTCTTGCAAACCCTTACTTTTACGCCAGTTATGACATTCTTTGCAGGATGACAGAACCTCCTGCATGCAACCTCAAATTACCTTTTCATGTTAGCGCTTTGCTGAGACAATATTTGCACACATGTCATGAGTGCTGCTGTAGTTAGATAGCAGACGAGCGGATGTGCGCTCAGCAAGCAGTGCCAAACAAATGAGAGTACTTGTAGGAAGTCAGGAAGACGGTGTTGAATGAAAAGGTTGAAAATGGAGCCCACTGAGAAAGATCTTTCTTTTCCTCAGACATTTTATTTTCATGTGTCTTTCTAAAAAAGAAAAAAATATCATGCAAGCCCTGCTATTCCACTCTATCCCCCTTTTTTCTCCTCTCCCACTTTGGTTCCCTCCCCTCCCCTCTGCATCCTCCAATGACTCACGCTCCCCCTCCCCCCTGTGTGTCATATGTTTTCACCCCTTCTCCTCCCACCTCTCCGTCCCTCTATCTCTCCCTCTCATTCGCCCACAACCGCTCACTTTCTCCACCAGGCTTCAAACACGCTGCAGGTAATGTTTAAAAAGATTGATCTATTTCTTCATTCCCTCCATCCCTCTTAGCCTCCTCCATCCTCCTCCTCCCCCCTTCTCATCTCCTCATCTCCTCTCGCTGTGTGTTTTCTCACCATCTCATCTCTCCATTGGTCCATATTCATATTCACTGACTGAAACAGCACAGAAAATTGAACTGGCTGGTGGTCCGGAACAGGTTGACAGTAGATTCATAAATAGGTATGCATTATTAGCTTATGATAAATGTTTCCTTGTCTGTGTATATGTGGTTGTGGGTGTGTGCGTGTCAGTGCCAGCATCTTCCTAGGGAGCATCTTTTCCACAGCTCTTCATCCCTAAGGCTGCGTCACTATCATCACAATGTATGTGCATGTGACGAAGAGGAAGAGGGGTGTGAAGCCCTTGTGACTAATGTAAAATTGAAGCACCTCAACACCGCTGTTAGCTATAATGAAATGCGTTTTTGGCGTTTGATATTTTCATCCTCATCTGTCTCTCTGCTACCCCCATTCCCTTGCTCATGTACTTCTTCTTTTTTTTTTTTTAAAGAGGCAAAATCAGATGGTAGGACTGCAAAATGAGCACTGAATGTAATGTGCAGTAAAAATAGTTAAATAAAGCTAATGTTTTCTTGCTTTTTACAGGATGTCCATAGTGAATATTGTTGCCAGGGAGATCCTGGACTCCAGGGGAAACCCAACTGTGGAAGTAGATCTGCATACTGGCAAAGGTTAAAAAACATAAATCCATTAAAAAGAATCACTCATGTACTGTATTTGTGACCTTGTCTGATAATGGGTTTGACAATCTAATCTAAACCTCAAAGGTTGTATTCACACAGGCTTGCTTTTACCTTTTCCACCCCTCTCGCTGCCTCCTCAACCTTTCACCCCTAAACATGTCCCTCTCTCCACCCACCAATCTTTTTCATTCCAGGTCTGTTTAGGGCTGCTGTGCCCAGCGGTGCATCCACCGGCATTTACGAGGCCTTGGAGCTCCGGGATGGAGACAAGACTCGCTACAAGGGCAAAGGTGAACACTTAAAACGAGATGCATCGTCTGCGCTTCTGTCTCTTTTTTTCCCCGGCTCTTGCTTTGAACATTTTATTTGTGGTTTTGTGACATAAATGTGGTCTGACAATATTCGTTTTCCATGGATCCAAATATCTCCCTCTGTCCTGCTGTCTTAAGGTGTAACCAAAGCTGTTAGTCACATTAATGAGACCCTTGGACCCGCCCTCATGCAGTCTGTGAGTAGCAGTGCAGGATTTGATCAGTTTTAAGCAGAAATGGTCAAACAAGAATAAAAAACTCTGCTGACATTTTGTTTTTCTGTCAGGGAATCAGTGTGTTGGAGCAGGAGAAACTGGACAACGTGATGATTGAAATGGACGGCACTGACAACAAATGTAAGCCTCAATCATATCTCATGTACAGTGATGGAATACATGTGCAATGACATTTTTCCGCACCAGTGGCCACTTGACTGCATGTGCTTATGTGACTGCTTCTGTGTTTCCCCCAGCTAAGTTTGGGGCCAATTCTATTCTTGGAGTATCACTGGCCATATGCAAAGCTGGCGCAGCAGAGAAAGGTGTCCCTCTGTACCGTCACATTGCTGATCTGGCAGGAAACAGAGACTTGGTCCTCCCAGTTCCTGTAAGTCATTGTGCAAAAATGGAATTTTTCCAAACACAAAAGCCCGAATACAATCTCATCTGCCTTTATCTGTGTGCTCCCTCAGGCTTTTAATGTGATCAACGGGGGCTCCCATGCTGGTAACAGGCTGGCTATGCAGGAGTTCATGGTACTTCCTGTAGGAGCGGAGTCTTTCCGTGATGCTCTGCGTGTGGGGGCGGAGCTCTACCAGACACTCAGAGGTGTCATCAAGGAGAAATATGGTCAGGATGCTACAAATGTGGGAGATGAGGGAGGGTTTGCTCCTAATATACAAGAGAACAGTGAAGGTAAACACAGCTACAGTGAAAAACAAATTGTCCTTTCCTTAATTTCCTTTGGTCACCTTTCATCTTGCTATTTCTCTCCGTCAGCCCTGGAGCTGATAAAGACGGCCATAGAGAAGGCTGGCTTCACAGACAAAGTGGTGATAGGGATGGATGTTGCTGCTTCAGAGTTTTTCATCGAGGGCAAGTACGACCTGGACTTTAAGTCTGCGCCCAACGCTGCCCGCAACATCAGTGCTGATGAGCTGGCCAGTATCTACCAGGGATTTATTAACAACTACCCAGGTGTGTATTCTGATGAGAATGTGTTTGATTTGGGGCAAAGACGTGCCAGAAATAAGTATTTTTTCTCTAACAGCTGTTATAGTTAGATAGATAGCATCATATAGACAACTCCTATTCATCATGGACCTTTCAAATAAGGGAAATGTATTGATTTCCAGGCTTGTGCAAAGACAAGTGGTCAGTGTTAATAGCTGATTGAATTTCTATCAGTAAATTGACACACCAGCCTATTTTTGACATTTCTACAATTGCCATATTTCTTTCAACATCTCTTAGACAGATAAAGTAAGAGAACATGAGGGCTTGATGTCTCCACAGCCTGGTCTCTCCTCCTGACACTCGGGCCTGTTAAAGAGGTTTTAATTATGCGCTACAGCGCACATTTGGCAGGCAGGGACCTACTCTGATGTGGCTCTTTACCCTGTCAATGGTGTGCTTCCTGCTTGTGTGGGCAAGTGTGTGTGTGCATCTGTGTTAAATGTGAGTGCATTTTTAAAACATTACTCCTATTTGAACCTTTATTGGCAATGTCACCAGAGCTCTTACTTGTAAGTGACTAATGGAAAAATTAAGGGTTTTCAAAGCAGGTGGTAATATTAAACCTGTGCAAATAAATGATCTTACCCACATCTCTTTCCTCCAGTTGTGTCTATTGAAGATCCCTTTGACCAGGATGACTGGCCTGCTTGGTCACAGTTCACAGCGTCAGTGGGCATCCAGGTAAGATATCACACTGTGTCCTTGTTATGTGGAAGGGAATTAGTTCAGCTGGTCCTTTAAGTAATGCACTTCCATCCACAAAAAGGGTAAAAATTGATGCTGTAGAGGTCATGATGTCCTGATTTTTAGCAATAAATGCTTTATTCTCCAGTTTCTGAATGAAACTCAATAGCATATTTCATTGACTCTCCTTACTTTGTAATGCAGGCTGATCTTCATGTGCAGAATCAGAGTTTAATATCATTGGTTTATGGATTTACGTATATGTAGGACAAACGTTAATACTTTCTGGGCTGAGTAGACTTGATACTATTACTCTGATTAACAAGATGCAATTCGATCTGTCTGTAACTTTGTTGTGTACATTGTGCAGGTGGTTGGAGACGATCTGACGGTCACCAACCCACGCAGGATACAGCGAGCTGTGGAGGATAAGGCCTGCAACTGTCTGCTGCTTAAAGTCAACCAGATTGGCTCTGTCACAGAGGCCATCAAGGCGTGAGTAGATTTTGTGTGTATTTGATGCATAGACAATCACGTGTGTGTACATGCCTGCACTAAGAGTATGCATCGTACCTGTACTGCCCCTGCCTTTCAGGTGTAAGCTGGCCCAGGAGAACGGCTGGGGTGTGATGGTGAGCCACCGCTCAGGAGAAACAGAGGACACCTTTATAGCTGACCTGGTGGTTGGTCTCTGCACTGGACAGGTAACACACACACACACACACACACACACACACACACACACACACACACACACACACACACACACACACACACACACACACACACACGTGCACAACACAATGGGAAGGGTTTTAACAGAAATAGCTCATGTATAAGGTCATGTAGTAAAAAATCCTTTGATAGTGAAAATGACTGTAAGTTGCTGCCCGAATACCAAGTACCAGTAATGCAGCTTCTCTGTGATCCTTCATATTTTTTTCTCCTTCAGATCAAGACTGGAGCTCCCTGTCGATCAGAACGTCTGGCCAAATACAATCAGCTCATGAGGTTTGTATTCGTAGCTTGATTTGTATATATGTGCATGTATAGAAATACATAAAGAACATTTTTAGAATCACTTACATCACTTTTATATTTCTCCTCTTCTTTCCTTCTTTGTTTCATCTGCTTTTGTCCTTGTTCACATTATTTCTACCTGCTCTGCATCTCTCTCTCTCTCTCTCTCTTTCTCACCTCCTCTTCCTCTCAGGATTGAGGAAGAGCTGGGTGATCAGGCCCGCTTTGCTGGGCACAACTTTCGCAACCCCAGTGCACTTTAAGTGCTCGTGCCGTTTGCAGTGGCACACAAGAAAACGTATATACACACAGTCATGTTATATCTCCCTCACACACGCACATAAATGAGATAATGACACCTGTTTCAGCAAAGCTCTAAATACACTAAGACACACTTTAAAAGCATTAAGACTAATTTGTTTTCAAATAACCATAATGCGCAGATAATGCACTGTAACTACAGTATATTGACCTGACGCTTCAGCAAGTGATTGACTTAATTGACTACAGCCGGTTGCAGCAAATCCTGAACAAAGCCTGGAGGAAAACATCATCGTGTTTCACCTCTCAGCAGACGAGCACTTTCCCTGATGCACTTGTTAGTTTCTTTCTCTTTCCAGACCCCTCTGACTGTCTCTCTCACTGCAGAACTGTTTTGTTCTCCTGTCCCTGTTGTTTCCTCTTCTCCTGTTCCTCATGTCGTTTTTTGATGTGAACACAAATTGTGTCTGTTACTTTGTCTGTCTGAGGTTTAGCTTAATAAAGAAATGGATACATGTTAACTCAAACTCAAGTTCTCTGTGTATTTGTTTAAAGGTGGATGCTCTGCGGGGCTCTTCTCTTGCTTAAATAATCACTGAATAAAACATGGCTGAAAACCAGAAAACAACCTCAGCAATGGTCGGTAGTAGGTAGAAAGTAGGAACATACAAGCATGTTGCACCTCTGGCCACACTAAATATTGATGCTACAGCAGTTGATTGACACGTCTTTATAAACAAAGAGAAATATAAAATAGTAAGATTCTGCAATGATATTATCCCACAGGGTTTTGGTGATCATTTTTTTGCATTATCTTTTAGGGATCATGAAGGAAACCTTTGGAAATTTGTGGAATCATCTGAATTTTCTGCAGGAATTTAGAACGAGTCCAGCAAAAGGAACTAAAGCATTGATTAATTTCCACTTTATATATGTCTGCATGTGCAGGATGGCAACAGCAAAAAACGTGTTTGGAGCAATCTGTTCATGCAGTTGTCCATTAAAGCCACAACATAAAATACAGGGTATAGTAAGCTGTCAGAGGCAAACACCTACTGTGAAATCAATGACAGATCTTTTTCACAGCCAGGAATTTTGACATATCATAGCAGGACAGGTGTTATTGGTGATGGCTGATTTCCATTTCGGTGTTTCAGGTCCAAGGTCCCTGTATTGTGCATGTTGCTTCACTTACTGGCATGGTTACTGAGAAACTAAAACTGAGCCATTATTAATGTTTCACCTGTCTTATTCCTGCAGTGACATGTCAACATTTCTGCAAAACTGCCTATTGAAGAGTCCCACAGGCTTAAAATGATTCAATCCACAGAGACCAGTGCAGCAATTTATTATTATTATTATTATTATTATTATTATTATTGTTATTATGGTTCTTGTATAACATAAATGTAGCTTTAAAATGTGCTGTTTTAACATAAAATAACATTAAATGATGAATAAAAGAACATTTTAATACCAATAAAATGCATTAAGTGTGTTACATATCAGTGAAATGAGCCATAGATAAACTGGTATATAAACAAAGAATATAAATCCTTTATGAAGGATGCATATAGTCTATATGTTACTCAACTATTATATATTTAAATATTGTTATTAAATATTATAATCCGCTGTCGCTACATTGTGACGTCGCGCGGCTGCAGATCGATCATCAGCTGCACGTGCCGGTCGGCAGAGGGAGCGCGAGGCGCTTACCGGGCCGCCGCTGACGGTGATGAAGGAAGGCTGGAGCATGCGCATGCGCACCGGCTACAGTCTCCGGCCCGGGTTTCCATGGTTACCACACAATAGGAGACGGGACAGGGGGCTGCGTGAAGGGGGGAGAGAGAGAGAGAGAGAGAGAGAGAGAGAGAGGGAGGGAGAGAACGACAGCAGCGGAGCGAAGGGGAGGAGAGGGGAGGAGGAGGTCTGCAGAGCCGCTTGACTGGACACACCGCTGCAAGCCCTTCCCAGACAGACAGGCAGGCAGACAGACAGACAGACAGACAGGGAGCTGCCGGACAGACACATAACATAGCAGAGGGCACGATTTAATTGCCCATTTGTTAATTGTTTAATTATCCCAAAACGAGTTTGGGAGCTTTCTTTGTTAAGTCGCTGACATTGTCATTAAAAACCCCTCACACTACTGGGCCTAAAAGATCATCTCTCTCTCTCTCTCTCTCTCTCTCTCTCTCTCTCTCTCTCTCTCTCCTTTTGTCCACCTTCCTTCCTTCCTTGGTTTTTTTTTTTTTTTTTTTTTAAGTAATGGCCTTTAAGAACAAAAGAAAGACCCTATTGGACATCTCTTCCTCTTCGGGGTTCATCGCGAGATAAAGCCAAAGAGCGAGTTATTCAGTCTGAAGCAGAACCTCTCCATACAGTAAAGGTGACTCTGGAAGGACTAGGCAACAGAGAGAGAGAGAGAGAGAGAGAGAGAGAGAGAGAGAGAGAGAGGGAAAGAGAGACCCTCCCTCTTGATCCCCTCCCTCTTCAGAGTTTTGGCCCTCTCTCTGCGCCTCTCTTCCTCCTTCTCCCTGCCTGACTACTCCCTCCTTCTCCTCCTCCTCCTCCTCTTCCTCCTCCTCCTCTTAGCCTCCCCCCCCCTCTCTCTCTCTCCTCATGCAAATCACGCCGTCTCCTCTCCCTTTTCTCTCACCCGACGTGCATCCCCTTCTCTCCGTGGCTCACCCCTCCGCTAAAAAATTGTGACTGTAAGACCGGAGAGGGGCAGAGAGAGAGAGATAGAGATAGAGAGAGAGAGAGAGAGAGAGGGAAAAAAGTGCAAGTCGTCTTAGAGGAAGAGGGGGAGTAGGTAGGGTGGGAGAGGGGAGGGAGGGGGGGCAAAAAAAAGAAAAAGGGGGCGAAAGGGGGTGGGGAAGAGGCGAGGGTACGCATCAATTTGTAGTCTTCAGTTGGCACCCCTGTTTTTTCCCCTGCAACGAATAGAAAGAGATTTTCTTCTGCATTTATTGTTATTATCGGAGCCCCGCTGCAATATGAGCCAGCAGCAGCCTCTGTTGACAGACGCCTGGGCTCTGAGGTGTGCGTGTCAGCGTGCAACATAAAACGACAAAACAGAGGGAGAGAAAGGAAAGGGAGAGAGTGAGAGTGAGAGCACGCATCGCTGGATATTATAGGTAAGGAGAAGGGAGGAAAAAAATGGATGCTTATACTCTATGTTGTTTGGAGCTATTCCTGCTGGCCACGTTTGTGCAACCTCCCTCCCATTTTTTTTTCCTTTCTCCCCCTTTTTCCCTTTGTGCGTTAATTATCATTACACTCCTGCGTTATGGTTAAATTATGTCCCGGTGAATTAATGTTAATAGGGTTGCACGACGCGCACCCACATTCCTGCGAGGAAAAAGAGAGAGGGGGGAAAGAAAGAGAGAGAGAGAGAGAGAGAGAGAGCCGGTGAGAAATGCTATGATTCGCCATTCCATATCATCTTTCTTTTTTTTTAAGATGTGCAGCGTCTAGAAAACAGCCCCTGCACAGGCATCCATTCTGATTGTGAACATGTATGTGCCGCTGTGCACGACTCTCTCCCCCCTCCTCTTCTCCGTCTGTAGGTTGCACCGTGTTTCCTGCCGGGGTAGTCTTGAGGGTTTTTTTCTCCCTCTGCATGTGTATCAATAACATTCGCAGGAAGAAAGAAGAGTCGTTGCGGTGCCCGCTCGCTGGTGATGTAAGCAGAGCAACTGCATGCTGCTGCTTTTTGCATCACATGCAGTTGGTCAATTTGTTGATAATGCATGTGTCTGTGTGTGTCTGTGTGTGTGTGTGTGTGTGTGTGTTTTGCAGCGGGACTGGGGTGATGTTAATGCTGATGTGTGTGTGTTAGTGATGTGTTTGCGTCCTAGTTGTTTACTGACCATGGCCAAGGACCTGCCAGCGGACCACAGACAGGGCCAGTAGCTGCCACCTGTAACTGAGATGCATGATGTATACAGTAACCCACTGGGCGCTGAATGTTTCTACTCCTGCGTGAATAACTTAGTCATGTGTATATTAATCAGGCTGCACACACACACACACACACACACACTGCATTGCCTATAAATACATGTGCCATCCTTTATGCATATGAGGTGTGAACAGTGATTGTGACTGTTCAGATTTTTACTCTTAAGACAGATTGGATCAGTCACTGCAGCATGCACTAATAATTAATGCATAGCCATGTGTAGTGGAGCTGGATTTACAGGAGCTTGTCTGCTTTGACACACACACACAGGTCGGTGTGTGTGTCTGTGTGTGTGTGTGTGTGTGTGTGTAGCTACTATATGTATTGGCTGCATAGCAGAGTGTGCAATAGCTCTGCTAACTGCCAAATATATCCTTTTTTCATCCAGTGGTGTGCACTATTTATATCCTTATTCAATATACATGAGACATTTTTTCATCGTAGTGGTACATAAATGAATGAATGAATGAATGAATGAATGAATGAATGAATGAATGAATGGATGGATGGATGGATTAGAGGAGGCCTCCTGGCAAAGTAGTCCACCTATGTTGTCAGGCACACCCAAACGGATAAAGGGATATTGACACCGTGCATTCCCCCTAATGGTTGGCTGGCTGGATAAATTAGTATGTGATTCTTCCAGCCATAACCAGGTCATGTGGGTTTACCACAAGTGGCTGTGGGTTTGGGCTGTTGTGGTGAAGGTGGAAGGAAGGAAGGGTAAGGAAGGAGAAGGAGGGAGGGAGGGAGGGAGGGAGGGGGGGGGGGTGTGGTTCACAAGATGTTTGCTGGAGTCTTCTTCCATCCAAAATGCAGTCTACCAATCAGCACCTTCTCTTCCCCCGCTCTTATTATCTGTTGTTTCTATGCTATAGCTCCCAATTATTTACTCTACTCAAACCAGTGCGTTGTGTGAGTGGGTTCACCTATTGTGCCTGTGGGTTTTTTTTTTTTTCCCTGCTGTGGTGAAGACACAAGGCAGAGAGGAAACAGTTTTGAGTGCGGTGGAAAGCAGTTGTGCCAATACAGTGTGAAGCATGCTGGGAATTTAAATATTGTAACAGTGCTTTTGCAGTTTTAAACTCGGCTGTTTTCATAATGTCACAAAGTCGTGAACGCCACGCTCGATGCAGATAGCAGGCAATAGTGCTCCTCGCTGCATCCTTACATGAACTAATGTTTGTTAGCGAACCATTTGCTTTCTCTGTAGGATTTCCATGCAGATAAAGACTGAATAATGCTGTCTTTTGTTTATGCTTCTTTACAGGTTTTTGGTAGGTCTCATGGTGTAACACACAGCCCAGTCAGTAACAGGAACCAGTTCAGTCCCTGCAATGGCTTGTGTTGTAAAATGGACGTTTTAAAGAAGATATAATGAAAACACGGACACACAAAGAATCGGTATGAACGAGGCCTACGTCAAATTTGTCATAGTAACGTCAGGGATTATTGTACCTGCTTCATTCTTGTACTGTATGTAATGCATTCGGGAGCATGGTTACATCATAATTAGTTCAATATGTGATAGTATTTCAAAATAACAGGGATGACTATGATGTAGATTATTTATTTGGTTGTGAGATTGCACATTTATATTGTTCTCTTTGCTCTGCTTACAATTTCTCTCCCTCTTCTTCTGTCCTTCTGCCTTCTCTCTATTATGCCCTGCTCTTCCTTTCACCTCCCTCCTCTTTTTATTGTTGTTCCTCACTTGTTGCCCTTGATACGTTCCACCTTGAATTGAACGAACTTGACATTCTTTGGCTTATATTTTGGCTCTATTTTCACTGCAAACACACATTATTACATCTTATTTCTCTCAGTATATCTCCTCATTCCTGTAACTCTATCTTGTTTTAACAATTAATGCTTCTCCCCCTCCCTTCCATATTTTTTCTCCTCTTTTTGCTGGACTTTGGGTTTTGCAGATGCCCATGCGCAGTGGGCGACGGCGGGGGGCAAGTGAGGAGAGAAGGGGTAGACGCCCACACCCCAGCCCCAGTCGCCCTGAACGCAACGATAGACAGACGGTTAGAGCCTACCTCTTTTGTCTCTTTTTCTTAACTGTTGTTTTGGCCAGAAGTTTATGTGTTCGTATGAAAGTACAAGAGTCATGAAGAATAAAAAACTGTCTCTGTGTATTAAATTTTGTGTGTGTATGTATGTGTGTGTGCTCTGTGTATGAGTCATCAGTATGATTGCCACAGACATACCCTTGCAGTGTCAGTATTGTTCGATAGTGTGTTTTACAGCTTAGCACTTCGAAATCTTTGATGTTTTGCGTATGACATTGATGTTTTGCGTGCGTGTGCGTGCATGCAAGTGTGGCTTTGTTCTAAAAACAGTCGTAGGCTTGTTAGGGATTCAGAGACATCACTACAGAATTAAAAGTCTTGTGTTGTTTTAGCAAAGAGGTGCTGGTGAGGAATTGGCTGGAAATCGCTTCAGTCGCAGATCACAAGGGCATGATTCATCAGAGAGTGAGGGGGAGGAACTTGTGTCTCCTCCAAAGAGGCAGAAAGTTCAGGTTTGTGTTACATTTCATCAACCTGTTATATAAAGACTAATTATAAAGCTTTGATTCAGCTAAATCACCTAAATGGCTCTGTCTAAGCTATTAAGAGTTACATTCTTTGTTTCTTCAAATATACACACAGCCAACATTACCACATATACAAAATTTACATTTTTACCTCATCCACAAATGATCTTTTCTTGTAAGGATTCGGCCTCTACCCCAAACCCTCCAACATCAACACACTCGACTGACAGCTCAGCTCCTTCCACGGTTCCACCTCCGACCTCAGTTGCCAGCCAATCCCGTGAGAGTGACAACGAAGATGGCCAATCCCAGGGCAGTAGGAGTTCAGTTGTAGGGAGCCTGGCCAATAGCAGCAGTAGTCTGAGCAGTGGGCGGGATATAGACCAGGACAATCGTTCCTCATCCCCAAGTCTCTCCGCTTCCCCTTTGGGTAGCCTGGACTCTGATTCCGATGGCCCCGACTCACCAAAGCAAGGAGAGAGGGAACGAGAGAAAGGCAAGGAGGGAGGAGCTGGCAAGGTTTCAGGAGAGGACAGGAGAGCGCTACGAGAGGGGAGAGGGGATGAGTCCTGTGGAGATGGAGAAAAGCGGGATGTGGACGCACGAATTGAAGACTGTCCGTCTCTTAAGCCCCCCTCCACTCCATGCTCTTCCTCTGGTCTGACTCCCTCTCTCCGTGGAGCAGGGGATTCATCCAATGACAGCAATAGCGGGAGGAAGTCCTATTTCTCCCTGGACTCCAAATTAATGTGTAAAGTTGAGTATGGTGTTGACGGTGCACTTAGTGGCAACAGAATGAATTCCAAAGCCAGCACGCAGTGTGTGACCAAGACAACTATCTCGGGAGGAGATTTTTCCCATAACAGCCCCAACCTTCCCCACTCTTTGCCCCCTCCTCTTCCTCCACCACCTGCGCTAAAGCCCTTGGAGCTTGGGGGACAAAACCTGCCTGCTGAGGTTAAGACAGAAAGGGACAAAATAGAAAAGGCAGACAAACTCCTGGACAAGGCTCAGTCCACTCCTCCTTCTCTGTTGCCACAGACCGGCCCACAGCCACAGTCCCAGTCCCAGTCTCAGACCCAACCCTCGGCCCACCCTCACCACTACAGCTCCACCAGCTGGCAGGGTGGTACAGCAACTGGTTGCCAAGGGAGCTGGGGCTACACCCGTTACCCTGGAAACCACCACCCACACCAACCACAGCACCAGCCCCCAGTGCAGCAGCAGCAACTTCCCTCTGTTTACAACCCTCCGTCCTCTCGCCACTCCTCCTCCCACCCCTCTTACCTCCCCCATCCTCATCCCCACCCCCACAGGGAGTACCTTCCCAGGTACGCTGGAGGGGGAGGGGACAGAGAGAGGGGGGCCGCAGGAGAGAGGGAGAGGGGAGTGAGGGGGGAGTGTGGGGGGAGGGAGATCAACAGGGAGTTCTCTGCTCCCATTGGCAACAGCAGCAACAATAGTAGCGGGGGTAATGGTAATAGTACTTGTGGTGGGATGGCTGGGTCCAATAGCATTCAAAGCAGGGAGTTTGGGGGTCTTTCAGTGGGTCAGAACCGGGACTTCCAAGGTTCTGGAAGAGATGGACCTAACTTAGGTCCTGAAAGACGAGACTTTGGTCCAGCTTTCAGAGACAGAGAGCGAGAAAGGGACAGGGAACGGGATGCAGGGAGGGAGTTTCCTTTGCCAAACCAAAACCAGAGTAGAGACTTTGGCCCCAATGGAACTGGAGGGGGGCATCCCAGAGACAAAGATGGAGGCAGATGGGGTGAGTTTGGGGGCCAGACAAGAGAGGTTGTAGGCAACAGTAACCCAAACAACAACTCCATCCCCCAGGGAAACACCCCAAGTTCAACCAGCGGGCTACCTGTCACCCCCATGCTGAACCGGGACCCACCTGCATCGCCCCAAAACAACCCCAGTCACCCTTCCCATTCCTCCCTGCCCCCACACCCCCACCCACATCCGCCAAATTCATCCAGCCGAGACTTCCCTCCTCCCATGGACCAAGCACAAACCCCCTCCTCTGGATCAGACCACTTTCACAGAGAATATCCATCCACTGGAGGAAAAGACTTTCCTGCTGGGGCGCCTTCTTCCACTGGCACAAATCGAGAGTACCTCAGTCCCCCTGGGGTGACCCCAAACCTGGGACGAGAGTATTCAGGGCCTGGAGGAACCCATCACCCCCACCCACCTCACCCCCACTACCAGTCTGGGCCCAGAGACAGAGAGAGAGACTCAAACCTGCGAGAGTCCACTCTGTACCAAAATCGGGGAGGCCCAAATCAACCTCCTGCACTCTCTCCTTCCTCCTCCTCTAGTCATCATGGACACCCTCCGAATGCTCCTTACCCACCTCCACCCCCTCAGCCTCCTCTACCCCAACCTCAAACTTCCCACACTCAGCCACCTCCATCAGGTATGGCACCCAATGTACGCCCCCCTCATTACCAGTCCTCCGCCCAGACTCCTCCAACACCCTTATCTCCATTACCGAGCCCATCCACAAATCAGATTGGAGGCTTTTCATCTTTTCCCCCTGGCTCCTCCTCTGGGCCTAACATGCCACTTCCTGGGCCGGGCGCGTCATCCAGCTGTTCACCCGGATGTCGCCCCTCCCCTTTTCATGGCACTTTGAACAGCCACCCTCCGTTCAGTGGAACGTACCACTCCAACGGGAACAGCGGCAGTAACATGGCCAACAGCAATAGCAACAGTAGCGCGCCTAATAGCAGCAATACCAACTCACAATCACTCTCGCCTCAAAATGTTTCGAAAGGACCTCCACCTCTTAGTAACTCGGCAAACAACAGCAACAGCATTTCAACCCCTGCTTCTAGTTCTTCACTCCCGGGTGGAGACGGACATTCGGATTCAGGCCCACCTCCCACACCTGTTATCAAAGAGGAGCCAATAGAAGACAGGGAAGAGAGTGAAAGCCCACCACCCGTGTTGAGAAGCCCCTCTCCTGAACCCAAACCTGTAGACATTCCCATCCACGCCAGTCAGTCAGCACGGTAAGGCCAAATGACATCATCCTCCTATTTGAGATCCAGGCCCTCTTTATGTGATCAGTAATTAACAGTAATGGTAACTGTTATGATGGTGATTCTGACTCCTGATGGTCGTAGTCATGATGTATTAAACCGCTGTATCACTCGTGTCTAGGTTTCACAAGGTCCTTGACCGTGGCAGCGGGAACTCCTGTGCCCGCAGTGACGTTCTCTTTGTGCCGTTGGACGGCTCCAAACTGTGGAAGAAGAGGAATGAGGTGATTGAAAGGGCACGCAGGGAGGTCGAGCAGCGGGCCAGAGACCTAAGAGAAAAAGAGAGGGAACGAGAGAGGGAGCGTGAGCGTGAGAGGGAACTGGATCGACATCTACAGGTGTGCACATTTGAGCGTGATAATTATGTAGCGTGTCAGATTTAATGGATTTGTTGTAGATTAAATTGATCACTTTAATGTGAGGGGAGTAAAACGGATCAGGGCAGACGTGATTTACTGTCTTTTACTGTTTTCTTTGCAGCAACAGAAGGATGTCAACGCCGCTGGAGGGGGTCGCCAGGGCTCCTCTCTGTTCTTCCCCTCCTCTTCTTCGATCATCCTCGACCCTTCATCTTCTTCCTCGTCTTCCTCGGGGAACTCTGTCTCCTGCCCTCCCCCTCACCCCCAGCATCACCCCTCACACCCTCATGCTCATCTTGCTCCGGCACACCATCTCCACCCCACCCTCGCTCACTCTATCCCCCACTCCCTCCTCCTGCCATCTATGGGTGGGGCCACCACAGTGGTTGGCCCTCAGGGAGCCCTGGGAATAGGTTTAGGAGGTCCATATTTGGGCCCTGACACCCCAGCGCTAAGAACCCTGAGCGAGTATGCTCGCCCTCATGCTATGTCTCCACTGGGGGCAGCAAGTCGTGCCCAGGCACACCACCAACAAGTTCACCACGGCCACCCCCATGTCCACCCTTCATTCTTCCTTCCCCAGTTCCAAAATCATGCTTTAGGCCACCCACATCACCTGCCTACTGATGCAGCTACAGCTGCAGCCATCTTGGGTTTTTTGTATGGTGGCAGCCTTGAAGGCGGTCCAGGTGTTGGCGGCCATGCTGGGGTGGCAGGAGGCCCAATACCTGGAGGGATCGGGGGTGCGGGGTTAGGTGGAGTTGGCTTTCCGCATGCAGTGGCTGCACATAGAGATCGAATAAAGCCAGGATTTGAATTTAAGAGTGATGAGCGGGTTTACCCACCAGGGTCCATACCTGATCCCGCAGCTCTTGCCCTTGCTCACTCTCATTCTCATCATGCCCATGCCCATGCCCATGCCCATGCCCATGCCCATGCCAATGCTCAAGCGCATGCACACTCCCTGCTCCTGGGAGGAGGTGCAGTGGGAGCTAATGAGGTGTCACTCTATGGCACTCCTCCTCCCCCATCTCCTGCTGGCCCCCCACACCTCCAGAACCCAACTCTGGCACAAGTAACTCGACCTCCGAACCCTCCTGCCCCTCAGTCCCTGTCCAATCCACCCCCTTCATCTCTCCTCACACCCTCTCTCCCCTCTCACCCATCATCTGCACCACCGGCTGCCCCCCCAGCTCCAGCAGGGCCTGCTGCTCCTTCACCAGCTCCTCCTCCACCTGCTCCGCCGACCTCCAATGCCGCCTCACTCCATCACCCAGTCCCCCATTCTTCTTTTCCCAGCTCCCTGTCCTCTCATCTGCCACCAGCCCCTGCCCCAGCCGCTCCCCCTGAGACCTACCCCACTCCCACTCGCTCTCCTGCCTCTTACGAGCGAGATAGGAGTGGAGAAAGAGAGCGGGAGAGGGAGAGAGACAGAGCAACTTTGCCGGCCTTTGGGGACAGAGAGCGAGAAAGAGAAAGGGAGAGAGAAAGGGGAGGAAGTGGTGGAGGCGGAGGAGGAGGAGGAGGAGCAGGAGGGGGAAGTGGAGGAGGAACCGGTGGAGGAGGTGGAGGAGAGAATCTGGGGCGTCTTCAGATGTTAAACGTGACACCTCATCATCACCAGCATTCACACATCCACTCACATCTTCACCTGCACCAGCAAGACACAGGTACCCACTGCTACTAACAATGTTGTCATTATAAGTATCTGCCTCATACTGTGTGTACTACAATATTAAAGGATCAGGCTATAATCTTTAGGCCGTAGACCTCCTTTGTTGTCCAAAAACTGTGAAAGACAAGTCGAAGAGACACACCGTTGCACTGGACGACGACATGTTCCTTCTTTATGATGAACATCGGCACTGTAGTTTATTTTTTGCGTCAGCCAAACACACAAAATGTGCCTTAATCCCGCTGCTGAAAATAATCCCAAACAAATGCACTATACTTGCATTACATTTGCTAAAAACTACAATGCCTGTCTGTGTTAGGAGATTACTGAGTCTTTACTATACTATATATTTGTGACACATTTTTAAAGATTTATATCTTCAGTAGGAATAAATAGGCTCTGGGTTGTTTGTCACCGACAGGGAAGTGGGAATGTATTTAGAGACGTCCAAACACATGATGGTTTTGGTCTTTTTTAATGGGAGTTGTGGACAGTAAGAAACACTAGGAACAATGCCAGCTGTATCCTTCAATTCAAATACAAATCATTTTTGTATTTGTATTTCAGCATTGAAAAAATTCTGGTGATATTTAAATTGTTCTTTTATCGCAGGAGATGTTTGTTAACTCAGATCTCAGTTTGATGTATGAAAAACAAGAGAAGCCTTTTGTCTCTTTGAAAGAACTCTTTAAATGTACATATTCATGTACGAAATTCACATTTACAGTAGGCACAATGGGAGGTGTTTATACACGTTAACATTTAACCAAAATGGAGAGAAAAACAATTGCACATACTGCGTTAAACATCCACTTTAACAAAAGCCATTATTTTATCCAAATTAATCCAGACTTCTGAGACTTTCTTAAATGCCTTTTCATGCAGTGTGCAGCATCTTGAATTTGAATTTTAGGCAGAATTCATTGACCCTTATTGAATATATCCTGTATTTCCTATTACATCACTGGCATCCAGCGACGGGCGGGGTTCACCCCCTGATGGACCCGTTGGCGTCGGGGTCTCCTTTGGCACGCCTCCCTTACCCAGGAGCCACACTAGGCACCCCCATCCTGGCTCACCCCCTCACTGACAGCGAGGTGCTCCGCCAACAGCTGTTCGGTGAGGAGAAGGCTCCTCGTCCATGTACTTGTTCAGTTTTTTTCTCTAAAAACTCAACAGTGTTGAAAGTTTACGAAGAGACTTTTTGAATATAACGATGATGATTGACCTCGGTCCCCTTTCTTTCTCCGTTTTCCTTTTGTATCCCCACCTGCTCTTCTTTCTTCTCTGTTTCGTTTACAGGTGCTCCTTTCCGTGACCTGCCCCAGCCGTCCTCCCTCACTGGTCCCATGTCAGCAGCCCATCAGCTCCAGGCCATGCAGCAGGCCCAGAGCGCAGAGCTGCAGATCCAGAGACTGGCCCTGGAACAACAGTGGATCCATCACCATCACCACCACTCCCTCACCCAGGACGAGTATTACAGGTACAGGCACTGGGTGTGTTTGTGGGATGTAATTGCAACTTGTAATGTAGCAGAGGCCGAATATTTTATGTAACATTGCAACTAACAATTGTTTTTATTGTTGATTCATCTGTTTTAAAAAATATTTCATATAATTAAATAGTGTCTGTTTATTAAAATCATGAAAAATGCCCATCAAAACTGACATTTGTCAACCCTGGACATGTCCATTAGTGGTTACAAGTGCTAACCTACCAAAGAAAAAAAAAGTTTGAAAGCAAAAATGTGTTTTCTCTAGCCATAAGTATGAAGAAAAACATAATCTCTACATATTTGAATCCTGAAAAATGCAATCTATGTTACATGTATCCCAAAACCTGCAATCACTATCCCTATCACCTGCAATCGTGTGAAATGAAAATGAACCCCAACCTTAGCTGTGACCTCTTTGCACCCTAACATGCTTTCTCCTTTGACCTTTTTAGTCACCTGAAGAAAGAAAGTGACAAGACCCTGTGAGGGAGGGGCACGACAAAGAGCAGCATGGAGAAAGTCGAGGGAGAATGTGTGCAAAATTAAAGGAATAACGCTAAACAAAAGCACTGACAACAATGAAGGAAACAAAGACTCAAAACAAAAGCTGGACTAATGGACAAGGGAATTCACTGAAGAAAACAGGAAGATTTTGAAGGATTAACAAAAGAGGGAGGAAGGCGTAAAAGTGTTGCACACAGTCCCTGCTAAACTGCACCACGTTGAAGGTCCAGGACTCCAGCGCTTCCCTGCATAATGTTCTCAAACTCCAGTCCTGTTTTGTATCGTGCTCTGTACAGTATATTAGATGGAGGCGGCAATAGTGAAGTACAGTATGTGTAAAATACTTGATGCCAGAAGGAATGTGTACATGAGTCTCTTTTATGTCATTGCATGTAGCTAGGCGCTTATTCTGAACTGGTGGAACTTTTGGTTCTATTTTTAGTAATTCCCCCCTCTTTTGTATCTGAGGGGCGTTCTATATGCATGAGACCAGCAATTTAGTGTTACGTTATGTTTATGATCAATAGTATTGTTATTATGATTAATGTTGTCTGTTTGTTGATAATGATATAATTATATATACAGTACATATTATTTGTATTATTTTTTTACATTTTCATGGTATGGCAGTTGGTTTTTATTTTTTATTTTTATTTTCAATTTACCTTGTGAAACAAGATGCAAATGAAGGCAAAAAAATCTGGAAATAAATTATAATCTTTTTTTGCTAGTCTCTTGCGTATTCATGCGTACCCTATTTTTTTTTTCTCTCTCTCACATACATTCAGACTATTTGCCCTTTCTTTGTTTTATACAAGTCACTCATGCACAAAGCATATCAAATTCCTCACTCTCCTCCCCCCCCCCCCTTCTTCTCTCTTTTGGACTCCCCCCCACCCCCTCCTCTTTCTCTCCATCGGTCTGTCCCTCCTCCTCCTCTCTTGGTGAGTGTAGCTAATAGGAGACACATGGGATGAGTGTGAGACATGGGAGTTGAGTCGCTCCAGTGAACACCAGCCACCCTGTAGAGCGAGCATTCCTTACTGCACTGTAAAAATGAAAAGAGAAAAAAATATATAAAGAGAGAAATGAAAAGGAGAAAGGAAGGAGGAGCTGTGAGAGTGTGATTTACGGACACTGCTGAAGGCTCAGGGCTGTGTGTGTTCTCACCGTGTCCGGCTGGAGGAATCTCCTTCAAACAGACACGGATCAGTGAATCAGCCTTCACGTTGTAAGACAGAATCACTGCTGGTTTGCAGATTTGGGGACGTGTAGCTTTGGCAAAAACAAACTTCACAATAATGCAGCTTTTTCTTTTTTATTATAATGATGCACTCTCTAAAATTGGCTTCTTTACAGGGTTCTCCAGATGCCTAAAGTCTGCCTCCCTTTTCTTTTTCGAATGCAATGAAAACTCCTCATACTGATGTGACGTTGATTGATAGCGTTATCTGTAAGAACCATCTCAGACAGGATAGTGATATTGGATGTGAGACATGCTTCAGTATGTGGAATTTATACTGTATAGGGCATGTCTGTGAGATGGTATGTAGGTTGTGTGTCATTAAAAGTCACCTTGAATAAGTGTGTCAACATAATGTAAAGTATTTTCCTGCAGGACAAAATCAGATTTTCCCCTCTGGTGACATCACATCTGGGGGATATTCTTAGCACTTCATCAGTCCTTCCTCAGGACACTGTGAAAAGGTGTGTATGAAAAGATGAAAGACATTGTCTGAACACTGCATTTAATACAGGGCCTTGTATTATTACGACAGCCACAATGTGGATATAAAATAAAGGTTATTATTAGCAGCTGTTGTTTTCAAATCTGGGACAACTATTTGAAAATAATTCTCATTCTTTCATATTGACCTACTTTTAGTATCAGATAACGCACGCTGTCAGGTAAAATCTTAAATCACAGGACTTTTAAGTACATCCCCCATGGTAATGAAATAATCTGTAATTAATTATATTGTAATTGGAGACAGACTACAATATGGCAGCAGCTAGATTGACATACTAATGATTTACCAGCACTTATGGTCCCACATGTGATACCAATTTGTGTGGATTAAATAAACAAGACATACATATCAACACACTTCTTTTATTATTTGAAGATTAAAGTCGCAGTCTCATCTAATCAGGGCCAGTTTGTGTCTACATTATAAAGATTTTAATTAAGAGGTGTTGCCAAAATCATGCCTAATAAAGTCTCAAATGTTCTCCAAATAAGATGTACTCCTTCACTCGATCGCCCAAATAAACACGCTCCAAACATCTAGCATGTTGACACATTATGTAAGTCTAATTATCATCCATGTGGCCTTCACAGCCATTGATGGGTTAGGGTGAATGTGACGCTCCGACAAGTCGAGTTGTTCCAAATGAACTGAAAGTAAAATAACCCTCACATTTGCAATACGCTGTTGGAAGACGCGTGACTACGAAACAAGTGCATATGAAGCTGGCTCTACGAACGATGGGATCTAGTTATCCCCTGTGCCACTATCCAAAGAAAGCATTCATACAGACGCACACAACTTCCAAATGTTATCACAGACTGTATCAAGCTCCACTGTCATAGATCTTACAGCATGTTTGGGTTTGATGCTTGTACAGCGTACCTTGCACAAACAGTGACTAATTTGGTTTAGTCCCTGTCCCACAGCTCCCTCCAGCAAAAAATATCTTCCTCTCTACACTTCCCCTTTTCTTTCAAGTTCTGTTTTGCCTCAGAGAGACGGTTTTAACACATTTTTCTGCATCTGCCAGCTAACATATTTGCTTCACAGCCGTCTTTCTCCTCCTGCTGGAGCTTTCATGCTTCATAAAGTTTCCCCAATGATCACCACTAACCCTTCATTGCACCTGTCTACTGTCCCTCTGCCTGAGACCTGACTGTGGCTGCGACCCTTGTGGTCCATTTTTAGTAGTCACTGGACTCTTACGAGGACCGAAGACTTTACTTTACTGTTGAAATTCAACATGGGAGCTTTTCTGTTTGTTTTAAATTGAATTAGATACAGAATTTTTTGCAACATGGAGATACTCACTCAGGTCAATGAAACTTCTGCTTCAGCAAACCCTCCAACACCTCATTCATCTGCAGGAGTGCCATCATGACCAGCAGCTTCAACAGCCAAACTGAAGTGCGTGCTGAGAACAGAGTCTGTTGCCTCTTTCACCTCCTCTCACCCGTACAATCAATCTCTTCTGACCTCTTGCTCACGCCATTCCAGCCTGGAGAACATGATCCCACAGGATCATCTCGAGGCATTGCTGAGCATTTTAAAGTGGTTGTAGACAACACGTGGGTGACCAGAGCTCTCTGCCTCCTTCCACCACCCACCAGGGAGGTGCAGCTCATTGCCCACAGTTTTGCCAGCATCCTCACTGTCTCAGCAACCAGCCGCGTGATTAAAATGGGTCCGGCTAGGGTTGGAAATGGAAAGCTCACTGGTGTTCACTGGGTCTAGGAACAGGGTTAAAAGGCATTTTCAAAAAGAACGCAGCAAAAGTGCCCTCTATGGTGATCCAGTGTGCAAGAAAACATGATGAAGTGCCCCTGGAGTGCCCTTCCAGTGGACAAAAACATAATGCAGTGACATATAGGCTCCCCTGCATGCTGGAAAATGAATTGGCCTCTACATGCCTCTAAATGGTTGTGTTTTTTTTTAATCACAGATGTGTAGTAGTTATACTTATCACACAGTAAAACATTTCTAATCTTAACCAGGGGTTGTTTCACCATAAATGCATCACAACTTTTGGCCCTACTGCATGCAGCTAGTGCCCTCTTTATTTGTTCCTCCCCTGCCCCTCTGAATCCGCCACCGGTGTCTGTGAGGATGTTTGTTGGATAAAAACACTCAGAATCACAATATAGATAGAAATAAGAGAGTAACACTTTATTTAGATAGTCTGCCTACAGATAGTTTATAGGGTATTTGTAACATTGTCTGTAGATGTTCAACATTATCTATAGAGTATATTATGTTCACCATTTGTGAACATACCTTGTGCATAAACCTAACCAAACCTTGAACACAGTGGTGTAATGTCAGAATCTCTACCAGAGAGAGAGCTGGGTGTGTGAAGTGTCTACTCTAACAGTGGAAACAGTGAATTGTTTGCAGGTTAAAGGCGCAGAAAAGGATCAAAATAGTCCTTTATTGTGAGGATCATTAATTGCAGTGCGCTTAGTGGACCGAACACAATGTGGCGTTTGAATGTAGCAGAAAGTTGTTAAAAACAACATAGTAGGACATGAAATATTTATGAAATTGGATGAATATTTTGATGGCATGGTTTGCTGCTGGATTTGTGCTGAGGATGACAGCGGGACATATGAAGAAGGCCTTTGAAGCTGGAAAATTCAGTCATAACGGGTCCAAATGAGCACTGTTTCATTCTAATACTTTCAAGTGCACAGTAGCAGCTAGAGGCCTCAAACATTTGCAAGGTCAAGGTTTGAAATAACATGCAGTATATTAAAATCAATCAGTTGCGCAGGTTTGTTGTTTCCAGTCATCGGTGTGTTGGAATAATGATGATCAAATGTAGATTTATGAAGCAAAAACCTCAATAAACTGGTAAAAGAAAGTGCTTTTTTTAAATGATGGTAGGATGTTTTCAGCAACATATATTTGTCCATATCCATTTAATGCATGAGCCTTTTGGCAACACAGTTAATGGGAAGCACGTTGCTCTTTTGGAGGTTCAATGTAAATATTCTGAATCATTCTACAGCAGAGAAAGTGCAGACTGGGTTGTAAAATAATACATAGTCATCTCCACCTAAGTGACACTTGTTCTTGTTCAATTTCTTTCCCTATACAACCTCACATAGAAGTTTCTGGGTTTACCCACATGGCTTGGAGCAGAGCCCTGGCCCATAATTCAGCTTTATTTTAATCCAGATTTTTTACATTTTAAAAAAGATATTGTGTCATCATTTTAATTCTTCACACTTGTCATAAGTGGTTTACTGCACAGAGTACCTGCACGTACATGAGAGCTCTCAGATAATCTCTCTCCAACGAGTGAGCGTACCCTGAAATAATAATCCAGTTCAACAAGATGTTCTACAACATTATGAGAGGTGAATGAAGTGTAGGCGCCGGCCACTTATCACAGTCATTATCAGCATCTCAAGTATTTTATTTTTTTATTAGCTAGCTAACAAATGAAAAAGGAATGTACGATCTGAAAAAGACTCCTTGAACCTGGATATAGCCACAATGAAAACAGTCAGAACTGTATATCTAACTGAATGTTATAATTTAATACTTTCACCTGCGAATGAGATTGTTAAAGCTATTTGTCTGCATTGAATACTTTTATCCTTTAAGCACATTTGTCTGACTATACTCCCATACCTTTACTTTACTATTTCCAATGCAGGACTTTTACTCCACCACCACTGCTGGCCAACATGGTGACTCAGCTCCCTGCATTTCAAATCCCAATTTCATCCCTGAACATAAGTAATGGCTTCATAATGACAGCAAATAGAAAGGGCAGCAGGGGGAAGCTTCGTCTAATTTCACCCTGAGGAGGGAACTGGACTAATTGTGTGAAGCAGAGCAACAACCCAAGTTTATAGCCTGTGTCAAATACACTGCGTAGCCAAAAGTGTGTGGACACCCAAACATTACACCCACACATTTGTTGAACATCTCATCCCAAAACCACAGGCTTTAATATGCTGCTCTAACAGCCTCCACTCTCCTAAAAAAAGGGACAAAAGACTTTTGTAACCTGGGTGCAGAGATATGCCCCTGTGGCCGAACAGGAGCAAATCTTAAGGAGGTTGGACAGTGATGTTGGTCGATGAGGCCTGGCCCACAAAAAGGTTTTTCTAACTCAGAAAACTTCTTTGTGGGCCTTACTTTATGCCTCTTTGAAACTGGAAAGGACATTCCCAAACTATTGCTATAAAGGAGTATACTGTTGTCTAAGATATGAACTAATCAACTCAAGAACCATAACTTTTACGAAATAACAGATTATTTATTCATAAGAGTATCTGCCAAACCTGCCAGTGAGTTTGGATGTTACTACAAGCACCGTCAGCCAGGACAAACAGTATGTTACCAACCCACCTCCCAGTGGCTGCCAAGTTAAAATTAATTCATACTAATTAACAGTACTGTGCTTTTGAATCTGTGCTCCTTCAACCACCTGTTTCACTTTCTGCCTAAACTCATAACTCCCACTCTTAATAGTGTCTGATTTACACCAGACTTTCACCATCAACCGTGCAGTTGTCCAGCAAGACATTTGGAAGCTCAAAGGTCTGCTGGCTAAAATGTTTTTAAACTAAGAACAGATAGTTAATAGAGTGGCTTCTTGAGGGGGGATTCGGTGGTTTATCAAAAGCACAGAATCTTTTACGCTTTTAAAATGACTTCAACAATCGAGCAAAAGTTCTATTACTTTGGAAATATCTCTGTTTATTACAGCATTATGGCATATTCATAGATATTATGTTCATATGTTGCAGATTTGTCAGCTAAACCTTCGTTCTGTGAACTCTACTCCACATAGATTAACAAAAGTAGGTTTCAAGATTAGTAATTCTGTTTACGCCAAAATCAAAGTAATTTGAAAGTCCACAATATTTGTGTTACAGTTTAAGAATGATGAAGACAATATAGGATGTAGGCTCTACATGATTTTGTCTTTTGGGCAATCGTCATATTATGTTTTTCCCAGATTTTAGGCATTCTGTTATCTCGACTGGCTTAAAAAATAATGCATATAGCTGCCATGGTAAAAACAAAATTAGCCAGGGGGAGCATGGCCCTGCACTCCCCTAATTTTGGGCTGAGCCCTGAATGTTTACAATGTCTGGTTGACTATCTCTGAGTAACACCTGCGCTTTTCCTGCTATGACAAGACAAAATGTCTGCTATGTAAAAGGCCTATGTGGAAATACAGAGTTCTGTCAAATATAAATAGTAAAGAATGTATAATGTGTTCATAGATCTTCTTGTATGTGAAAATGTACCATTGAAGAAGTTTTAACCCTTTAATGCAACTGACCCACCAATGGATCTGTCATTATAAACTCTGTGCTGCTACATAGAGTTCAAAGCCCCACAACTTTATTTTAAAAGATCACAAAGTTTCAAAAGAGACCAACTATGTTCGGCTGAATTTTGCTGAAATGTGTTTATAATTGTGCACTAGAATGAAGATATCGACAATATTTCTTTTGTCTTTGGTTTGAATATTTTACTCAGTGTGGACATCATATAGCTTCACTGAAGAGTTGGAACAAGTTTATATTCATGATACTGCCAGACAATGCGGAATAAGATGATTTTTCCAAACAAAAATACTACTTAAGTGGACATTAATAGGTAATAAGTAAGTAGAAGTAACAATATTACAGTTTAGAAAGTAAAAGTTATCCATTCAAAATTTAAATTAAGTACAAAAATACCAAATTATTATAATCAAAATATACTTTAAGTGCCAAATATAAGAGCACTTCTTATACAGAACGTCTCATTTAAGAATAATATATATACTGTTACTGGATTTTAACTGTTAATACATTAATGTGTACATCACTTTAATGTAGCTGGTAGAGGTGTGACTAGTTTTAATTACTTTATATAATGTGTGGTATCTAAATATATAATAACACATCATCATTTAATTGTTGATTACACTTTGTATTAATAAACAGAATCTGTAAAGTAACAGCTGTCATGTTTAAATATAGTGGAGTAGAAAAGCAGCACAAAATGTTAATACTTAAAAGTACAGTACTAGAGTGAATGTACTTAGTAACTTTCCACCACTGAGAATAAGTGTTTACACAAAGGGTTTGAATATTTTGACTGTAAGAAGGCTACAGACCGAGAGTACTGTCAGTTCCCAGAAAAGCAGTACATACTCAGTACATTAGACACTGGAGTCTGTAGGCTGCCAACTATTGTAGATTGATGGGAAATTGAATGAAATGCTTTTACTGCCACCTACTGGATTGAAGTGCAACCTCCCCTTTTCTTGTGCTCCTGCAGCAGAAAGCAGAATACATTAAACAATAAGCATCTAGAATATTATAATTTTATTCAGTAAGACTACATTTACCTTCATTTCTTTATTAAAAGGTGTCTCTGTGGTTGTATTTTTACACATAACTTACTGCAGCCAATATAAAACAGACATTACATTTAGTGTTTGCACCTACTGGATGCTTTACACTTAAATTATAAAGGACTAACATACAGCGACAACATGAATCTATTGGCAGTGTCAGTTCAGTGACAGTCATACAGGCAGATTCTCTCTCTTGTGCACACTCCTCATGTGCCGGCCAAGAGACTCCATCCATTTGAAGGATTTCCCACAGTAATTACACACAAAGTGTTTCCCTTCTGTATGGATCGTCTGGTGTCTGTTCAGAGCGCTGGTTGTGATAAAAGTCTTTCTGCATATCTCACATCTGTAAGGTCTTTCCCCTGTGTGTGTCCTGATGTGAGCGGCGAGGTGGGAGCAGTTGCTGAACCGCTTTTCACAAACGGAGCAGCAGTAGGGTTTCTCTTTGCTCTCCTCGTTGTTGTTGTTGTTGTTGGCGTTGTGGTGGTTTGGGTGGAAGGGTAAGGTGGGGTCCTGCAGGCCGCCTCTCAGACTGGAAGGAGACGAGATGAAGTCTTTGATGTCTGATTCGAGGCTCTCGAGCTGCTCTGCATCGTGACCCATCCAGAAGTCCCTGTGGCTCCTCTGCTGCTCCTTCTTCACCTGTGAGGGCTCTGGGTGCTCCTGCTCCATGCTGCTGCCCCCATCCTCCTCACAGTGCTGGGACTCAGGAGCCTCCACTGCAGGGATTGACTGATGGAGCTGCTGCTGCTGCTGAGGGGGAGGAGGAGGAGGAGGAGGATGGAGATGGTGGTGGTGATGGGTGTGCTGCTGCAGCTGGGCTCCAAGGCATCTATCCAACCGGGGCTCTGGGTGTAAGACAAATAATCACAATTATGCAAAAAAAAAAAAGAGTTGCATGAGGTTTTGGTTGCATTCAAACCAACCTGACTTGAGAAGCTTCAGCTGCATCCTGAGGCGACTGATTTCTAAATCTTTTGAACGAGAAATCTCCTCTTTGTAGTCGGCTATTGTCTTTTCAACAGCTCCAAAGATCTCCTCCGCCGCCGCTGTCAGCCTCTCGTTGAGGAAGGCTTTCAGTGAATGCATGCTGCGCGTTTCTTAGGGAGATTAACAGCTTTTATTTGCGCTATGAGACGTACTCTGGCCAGTCCGTGAACGTCACGCTTCGCTTGTAAACACGGACATGAGACTGAGCCACGCTGAGGGTTCAATGTGAGCCACTACCGCCGCCTGCTGGACCGGCGGCGCAAAGGTAAGAGCCCCTTCTTCAGTGTCCAGGCTGCAGAGGGAGGGGAAGAAAGTAAAAGCAACACCTTATAATATAATAATTAAAAGTATATAACATTAAAAGTCTTACAAAAGTTGTATTTATGAATATAAATTATGATTTATTCTTATTTGTAAACGAGAAATACTTTATTGATCCCCAGGGGGAAATTCTCTCAACAACTCAAACGGTAAGGAATTTGTATTTGTTTGTTTTGTATTACTTTATTAATCCCACAACGGGGAAATTCCCTTGTCACAGCAGCATTTATGTGAAATAAATAAATACAGATATAAAAAAACTATGGTAAAAGTGGTAAAGCTATGGTATGGTGGTAATTTGAAAAACAGAAACTACATCATTGATCAGGTGTTGTAGAGTCTGACAGCGGCAGGGATGAAAGACCTGCGGAACCTCTCCTTCTTACACCGAGGGTGTAACAATCTGCTGCTGAAGGAGCTACTCAGGGACCCCACAGTGTCATGTAGGGGGTGAGAGGTGTTGTCCATGATGGATGATTGTCCATACTTACAGTTAGGCCCAGAAATATTTGGACAGTGGCACCATTTTCCTGATTTGGACTCTGCATGCCACCACATTGGATTTGAAATTAAACAACTGAGATGCAATTGAAGTGCAGACTTTCAGGTCTAATTCAAGGGGTTGAACAAAAATATCCTATCAAACGTTTAGAAATTGCAACAATTTTTAAACAAAGTCTCCCCATTTCAAGGGCTCAAAAATAATTGGACAAATTAACATTACCATAAATAAAATTCTAATTTTTAATACTTTGTTGAGAATTCTTTGCAGGCAATGACTGCCTGAAGTCTGGAACCCATGAATATCACCAAATGCTGGGTTTCCTCCTTTGTGATGCTTGTGATTGTGGGTCTTTCTGCTTTAAGTTTTGTCTTAAGCAAATGAAATGCGTGCTCAATCGGGTTGAGATCTGGTGATTGACTCGGCCATTGCAGAATATTTCACTTCCTTGCCTTAAAAAACTCCTGGGGTGCTTTTGCAGTATGTTTTGGGTCATTGTCCATCTGTACTGTGAAGCGCCGTCCCATCAACTTTGCTGCATTTGGCTGAATCTGAGCAGAAAGAATATCCCTATACACTTCAGAATTCATCCGGCTGCTACTGTCTCCTGTCGCAGGATCAATAAACACTAGTGACCCAGTGCCGTTGGAAGCCATGCATGCCCATGACATCACACTGCCTCCACCATGGTTTACAGAAGATGTGGTGTGCTTTGGATGTGCAAGCATTCTCCATACTTTCTTCTTCCCATCATTCTGGTACAGGTTGATCTTCATCTGTCCAAAGAACGCTGGCCCCCTAACTGGGCTGGCTCCTTTAGATGTTTTTTGGCAAAGTCTAATCTGGCCTTTCTATTTTTGAGGCTGATGAATGGTTTGCACCTTGTTGTGAACCCTCTGTATGCTCTCCTGAAGTCTTCTCTTTATGGTAGACTTAGATACTGATAATTGTCCAATTACCTTGGGTCCCTTGAAAAAGAGGCGGCTACATATTAAAGAGCTGTAATTCCTAAACCCTTCCTCCAATCTGGATGTAAATACCCTCAAATTAAAGCTGAGAGTCTGCACTTTAAGCCCATATTGGACCTAACTGTATATTACAATATCTAACACAATATATAGAATAGAAATGTATGTATAGGTATATACATATAAGTAAAAAATAAAAATAAAAATGGAAATAGAAATGTAAAAAGAGCCTAAGAGATATAATAAGATAATAGGAGTCTATATACAAAGTAAATGTAAAACATATTCCACAGTATGTGCTGAAATTAAATAGTAATGAGTTTTAAGATTGTGGTGTTGCAGAAGTTATAGATAATTACAAAGAATGACATGATAATCAAATGTGTTGCACATTGACCCGGGTATTGCACCTTAATCGACTTAAAATAAATGAAGTTCCCCCAAATGGAAAGTTTCCCTGCTACTTTAAAGAGAGACATAACATTGTATTTTGTAATTCGTGGCAACCAGTCTTAGCTCATCTTTTTGGGTTTGTCACTCTGGGGTAAAACAATCTCCCAGTGAAATACCAGCTCACAAAATTAAATCACATTAAATTAAACACAGCCCCTGAAGTCCCCATGTTGCCTGAGTGGCAATTACTTTGTGGTAATTTTATTAATTACAAATGTGTTTGCCAATATGGAGCACGAGTAGTATAATTAAAAACTGGAATTGTAAGGGCCCAAAGCCTCCTGAATTTTTAATCCAATCTTGAGGCCTTGTTTCATATTGTGGAAGGACACAGCCAGAAAATCTAGTTTTAAAGTTTTTAATATTTCAGCTGAAATTATGTTTACACTGTGTGTGTTATATTCCTGTTTAATCATCACAAACACACAGCAAACCTGCATGTGTACATGTCTCTGCAGTACTGTGTGTGTATGTACAATATGTACTATCATAACTGAATAGTTCTGTTACTGCATATATAAATATAAATACAATATTTATGTCTTTTTGATTTTGTATGTCGAGGATACTGTCATATTTTGTTATGTTCAAATTTATATGTGAAAAAATAATATATTACTGTTTTAAAAGGGCTCTTTTATTGAATTACATCATATCATATAAGTATTCTTGTTATTTTGCCCTCCTCCTCCTGTACCTACAGCACTGTGGTCATTGGAATTGGTTCAGTCCAGTTTCAACACAGTAAGAATATAAAGACACTGAGGAGGGCAAATATTTATAAAACCAAGTGTTTGCTGAAGGAAATCTAAATGTCATGGAATAATCTGCAAAATCACCTAAAAATGAAAGCCCATTCACAACTGGCTCTACCTGCCCGTACCTAGTTTGTGGTCTATTGTTCTGCTCTCTTAACGACTCAGCATTTTACTGTCTGTTTGTTTTTGTACTTTAACCGTTAACAGAGTCGTAACCCTTTATAATAAAGGTTAAAGAAACATGCTCAAGACCACAGAGACACAAACCTATAGCATCCAAGCACAGTCTACAGTAGTATCAATACATCACATTCATTAACACTTAATCTGGATGAGCTTTAATTAATCAATTAAAAACACACTCTTGGGGCATCTGGCCTAGTGGTTAAGATGTGTAACTGCAACGTCCCCTCTTCTCTTCCCACCGGGGTTCTTTGTTGCAGGACATTATCCTTCGATCTTTCTCAGAAGTGTTTCTATTTTTTATCTGTACTCACTGTCAAATTAAGGAAAATGTCAAAAGATTATGTCTTTGTTCCCTGGCTTGTGCAGCAGGTCCTGTGTGATCAATGTGTTGTGTGTAGATAGTGAGACGTTAGGGCTAAAACTCTTTGCACTCTTGTATCACTCTCTGTATTTAGACCTAATAAGAGACGTAATGCCTTGTTACAACAAACACAAGATGAGTTGACTAAAATGTTCAGCATGCATTGGGTTTCTTATTTTACAGTCTAATAAATATTAGTTTCTGTATATACACACACATTTGTAATTGGCAAATCTACAATCCCCCCCGATACATGAATCTTTCACTGCTGCGTGTCTGTTTTAGTTCACTGCTGAGATAAAAATAGCAGTTAAATGCTTCTCTTGATGGCATTGTCTTAACAGCAGCTCACTTCTGTAACAAGATACCCTCTCCCTGCCGTCCTGAGAATACCACTGGGATTACTGTCCTCTGTATACGAGCACACAGCAGTCTGAAGAGCAGAGCGGGTTATGAAACCTAAAGTGAAAAGGAAGGTTTTCTTTGGAAAGTCTTGAGATAAACCTCACCAGGACAAAACAAGACACAACTCAGAAGACCAGTCTCTAAACTGTTTATTATAATGTTTCCTTGCAGCCTTCTCACCCTTTTACCCATCGGCCATGACACAATATGTTTAACATGTAATGCACACTTCCCTCCTGGCAAAAAGCAGCCACTGGGAGAGCGGATCATGCACGTCTACAGGGAGTTAAAAGCCACAGAACATCATAATTACACAAAAAGAGACGTTGATATTAAAAAGACAAATAAATCTGATTGACAAGAGCTGTGACACTGTTTACAAAAAAAAGTTCGTAAACTTTTCAAGTAAAAAGGCGTGGACTGGCGGTCCACCTCAAGATGTAATTGTCAGTCTTTACAGCTTGAGCACTTGGTGTGGAAGTTAGTATGCACACAGGCTGTTCTCAGTGGACTTAACTCTTTTCAGTGCAGTACAGTGTATGTGTCAACCTGTCCCTTTTCTTCTTGACAAAATATACCCAAAGAAATACAGGGGAAAAAAGGAGGGAATGACGTCATTACACGAATACTTTGAATAAAAAGGGGAAGAGGACTAAGTGCTGAGAGTGAGGGATGATGGAACTGGATCTGGTCTTGCTGCAGCCGCTGGGAGTTTTTTATGCCTTGGCGTTCATGATTTCGATAAACTCTGGCTTGAGGGAGGCTCCACCCACAAGGAAACCGTCAACGTCCTTCTGGGAGGCGAGCTCTTTGCAGGTACCACCAGTCACAGAACCTGAGACGAAAAACAGATTCATGAGAAGAAAATATAAAAAGATAATAAAATAAGAATACATAAACTTTATCTCGTCACATTGACTGACCTCCGTAGATGATCCTCACAGAGTTGGCTACGGCCTCAGACACGTTGGTCTTCAGCCACGCCCTCAGTTTGTCATGAACTTCCTGAGCCTGAGATATCACACACACACACACACATTATGATGGGTCCTAAGGAGAGATTGTCTTAATCATTTTCATTGATTACTTATATTTACCTGCTGTGGGGAGGCGGTCTTGCCGGTGCCAATGGCCCACACAGGCTCGTAAGCAAGCACGACCTTGCTCCAGTCCTTTACATTGTCTGTGAACGAGACGTGTGATAAGGCTCAAATAAAAGTATTTTGCAAG